AAACTGGCTCAGCAAACCAGAGCCCTTGGGCTGCCCCGCCCCCGGGTCCTCTCTCTCCCACGGGCCCTGGGCCACTGGGTCCTTCTCCCAGAGACCCTCCCCGACCCTCCCCGGCTGGGCTTCCCACCAGATCCCTCCCCAGCCTGGTCCCTCCAGCCCTGGGTCTGCCCCCCACTAGATTCCTTCCCAGCTGACTCCTCCTCCAGGAGCCCTCCGGGTCGCCCCCCGGGCGTGACGGGGCCTGTACAGAACCCCTGTGCCCCCCCAGCTCATTGATCTCTCATGTCCACCCTCACCCCCCTGGCCGCTGCTTCTAGGGGAAGGCTCTGCCCTTGGCTGCCTCATCCAGGCCCACTGGTAGCTCCCTCTGAGGCAGCTGCACTGGACAGCCGCCCCCTCCCTTCCCAAGTCCTGCTCTCACGAACCCCCTTTTCTCCCACCTCACAGAGCCCACCTTCTGCCTCTGCCCCTGGTTCTGACCTCCCCTCACCATCATCCAGTAACAGTCATGTTCATTTCTCGCCTTTTGTGATGCGGACCCCTCGGGCCTCCCAGGGCCTCTGGTCCACGACCACAGGGGACTGGGGCACCCTCCACGTGCCGGCCACTGCATCAAAGCCCAGGCCCCACGCCCCCTTATTGATCTTTCACACTCTGGGTCACTGTCCACCTCCCTGGCCACCCAGGACCAGGTGCCAGGCGTCAGGGTCCCTGGGACAGCCCCGGCCTGGAGCACCCAAGGTTACCCAACCCGCTCTGCCCCACCTGCCTCGTCCAGCTCCCCTGCGATCCACGGTGAAGGCTCTCGCTGGCGTGTCCCTCCTCCCCGCGCCCCTGACCAGTCCTGGTGCTCCCCACCTGGCCCTCCGTGGCCCAGCCTGTCCCTGCTCCTGGGGACTCTGAGGAACCTCTTCTCGGTGGCCATTGTCCCCTAGCATGCTGGCCCCCCACACCTGAATTGACCACAAGATCTACATTTTAAAATGCTCCTGCTCCCCCACTACCCCAGCAGCCGCAATGGCGGGAGACTGGCCGCGGGACACGCACCAGCCAGGAGCGCAGGACACAGGCCGCGGACTGAACAGGACCTGTCTGGACGGAGCCGAGGACGTCCCACATTTCGTGGCCAGGACGGAGCCGCCTGCAGGTTGGAGGCCTGGAGACAGGTGGGAATGTTTCGGGAGCAGGTGGCAGGCCAAGAGGTGAAGCTTAGCTGGTCTTCACAGTCGAGCTTCTCCGCAGGACACGTCTGGACTCAGAACCTCGATGACGTGAAATCGTACCCGCCTCCCACAAGAACTGCGTCTTTGCAGACCCACGTCTTGTTACCAAGAGTTGTCCTGCGTGACTACATGCTGCATGTGTCAGTGTGTTTGGAAATGTGTTTCCTGTTACGTGAGGGCTGCATCAGCGCCCCTGCTTGCCTCCTGGGCAAGTAACATTCACCATCTGGCCCTTGTGGAAAACCTGCGTGTGTCCAGAGCAAAAGGCAAGAAGGCATTGAAGGAGCAGGAGGGGCCTGGAGACTCAGGGTCTACTTGGGGGGTGTGGTGGGGCTCGGAGCAGGGTCTGGGGCCTGGGGACGCGCCCTGGCATTGACCCCCATGCTGCCTGGGGGGAACCGAGGAAGATGGGGTAACTCGGGGATGGTGGGGGCCTGGGGACAGGTAGAGAGGTTCAGGCAGAAACATGCCACTGTCCACCCCGATCCCCCACAGGTGCCCTCGCCTGTTACAGTTCCGGTTGGCTTGGTGGCGCTCTGATCAATATCCGTCAGTCACTGATCAATACCTGTCTCCTGCTAGAGCCCAGCTCCACAGGGTCTGCTCTCCCCAATCCCCCACCCCAGGGAACAGTCCACACCGCGGGAAGTCGGGAGGGAAGAACCCAGCAAGGAATTGGTGAATGTGCCAATGCACCCCGCACCCACCTGGCCCCACATCTCTGCAAAGCTGATGTTCAGGAAAGATCTGCGGAAATTTAAATTTTGACTCCAGAACTTTGTCTGGAGCGTGTTCCCTGGGTGCCTTTGGAGCCATCAGGCGGGGCTGAGCCAGGGGCCACGGTCCATTTGACATGGTTCTGCCAGCCCCTCAAGACACCCCGAAACCACCCACATCCTCAGGGTGAAAGAGGCCTCTGCCAGCAGGAGCCTCAGCTCCGCGGCCCTTCCAGCAGGACAGCCCCGCTTGTTCCCTCCCTCCTCCTAGAAGCCCTGTCGCCACCCAGGCCCCAGTCACACCCAGACCCCAGAGGGGCAGGTGGGCAGACACCCCACTGCGGCCCACCGTGGGGTCTGTGAGGTGGGGGCTGAGGGAGGAGGGGAGTCCAGACAGGAAAAGCATCAGGGGCTGGAGCTGGGAGTAGACGGGCAGGCAGAGGGCGCACGGGACGCACCAAAGTTAAAAGCTGATTTTCACGTTAAAAGGGACAAAATCCAAGCTGACATCCTACTCTTTCTGGGGTCAGAGCTGTGTGACCTCAGGCAGGTGTGCATCCTCTCTGATCCCCCATGTCTCATGGACTCCGACACCCAGTCATGAGGCCCACCGACCTGGATGTAGAAAGGACGGTGGTGTCCCCAAATTACGGGGGGGTTCTGCAGTGGGGTGCGAGGGCAGGCCTTGAACCCAGCTCACCGGGATCCAGGCTCTGCACGTGTGCCCCAGAGGGGCAGTGCGGTGGGTGCAAGTCAGACAGTCTCTTTCAAGGAAACAGTAGAGGGGTTTGCTCTTCTCCGGGAGCAGCAGCTGGAAACTCTTCCACGGAGACTCCCCGGCCCAGCCTCTCTGCTCCGAGAGGCCGGGAACTCCTCAGGGACGTGGAGCGCCAGGGCCCGCCGTCCCCTTGCTGGGCAACCTGGGGTGCCTTGCGGAGACCTGCCCAGCTCTGCCCAGGACGGCCTCTGAGGGGCATTCGGAGCACAGAGCCAGAAGCCCCCGAGTCCAGGGGCCACGCGCTGCAGCAGCGGCCACCGCGGGCGGGGAGACACAGAGCAGTCCCCGTGCGCAGACGGAGCCAGACACCCACGCGGCGACCAGCTGCCGCCACCCAGCACGGACTGATCCCAGCGGGTTCCAGGATGACAGGTGGCGACCAAGGCGGGGCCTGCCCAGCCTTCATCCAAGCAGCTAGTTCTCCAGGGACAGCAACATGTGCACCCTAAGCACCCCACCACCCGCAGCTCCCCATCCTTCTGCCCAAGCAGGTCTGCAGAGGAGGGAATGCAGGGGCGGCGGGGGCAGCCAGGGCAGGAGGGCTGGGGCCGGGCCGAGTCGGGCCCGGGACAGAGCAGAGGGCGTGGGCTCCAGTCCAGCTGGGGTCGCGGGCGGTGAGGTCAGCGGTCAGGCTTGCAGAGCAGCCGCGGAGGAGGCTGGGGCCACGGGGATCTCCGGGCCAGGGTTTCTCGGGGACCAAAAACATTCTGTTTCCGCGGCTTTCACAAGCTGCCCCCCTGGAGGCATGACTAAGTGGAAAACAGCGGAACCTCAGAAACTCAACACTGGCTGCTGTGGGTCCCTGGGGAACTAAGAGAAACCGCCTCGGACACACTCGGGGGCCACACCACCCCGAGCTGGGGAAGACACCCCCAGGCTGGGCGCCCTGTGGCTCATCTGGGAGAAACCAACAAAGACCCCCTACGGCGCCCACGTCCTAATCCGGGATCCCGTATATGTCACCTCACAGGGCCAAAGGGGTTTTGCAGATGGGAGCCGGGGCGGGCAGCAGTCCCGGGGCCAGGGGTCGAGAGGCAGACGCCATGTGACCAGCAAGCAGGAGGGGCTGCAGGCCAGGAAGGAATCCCAGAGGCTGGAAGGGGCCGGCGGCAGCTCTCCCCAGGCGCCTCCTGAGGCAGCCAGCCCCACCCTCTGCTGACTTTTGCCCAGTGAGGCCTATTCGGGGGTTCATGACCCCCAGAACTGTGAAGTAACAAACTGGGTGGTTTTAAGCCACTAAGTTCAGGGTAAATGGTCACAGCCAACTGCAGAACATGGACACGGCTCCCCAGGGCCCACGCTGGCCGGCAAGGCCTCCGTCGGGGACCCGCTCCCTCCCTCCTGGCCATGGGGAGCCCTGCCTGGCAGGGTGAGCTCTGGGAAAGTGAGCTCACCACGAGTCCCAGCAGGCTCTCCCTAGCAGGCAGGCACGCCGGCCCCCGCAGGGCGATGTTTCTGGAACAGCAGCAAGATTCCCACCCACGCACCCCGCCTTGCTCCCCACAGGACGCAGCCTGGAATCCCTCCACCAGGAGTGGGCCCGCTTCATTCCCCAAATAGGGTCACTGGGGAAAAGGTCATGGTGTGTGTGTGTGTGTGTAGGGGGGGTACATGGATTTGGGCCTCCCCTGGTGGTGCAGGGGGTTGAGTGCTGCTCTGTGAAGCTGTCCGCAGCCTCTGCAGCGCCGCTTCGATCCCAGCCGGCTGGCGAGGGTCCCACATGGTGCGCAAACCTCTCCTGTCTCCCCGCTGCTCCCCTCAGCAGTGTACTTCGTCAGTCTGCCTGCTCTGCTCCCCGCTCTGGCTCTGGTGAATCCTCTCACCCTCCCGTGCAGCTGGCCTGTACCCTGGTTCTTGTATAAATAAAAAAATCTCTAAAAAAAAAAAGGAAAAGACATGGATGACCCTCATCAGAATGGTCCCTAAGGGCCTGTTCTGGAGTGGTCAGGGGTGTGGCCATACAGCATAGGGTTTGGGGGTACACAGACTTGCCCCCTTGTCCTGTCTGCCCCCCTTCCTCCCTAAAGCACACTGCTGAGAAAAGCCGTTCCTGGCTCCATCAACAGAGATGGGGTCCTCATGTCCAGATCTGGATGCCACCAGCCCCCTCCCCTTATATACGACAGGGACAGAAGGCACTGCAGGGGCGTCACTCTCCCAGGGTGGGTATTTCCGGGACTGGGGAACCAAGCCAAGGTCCACAGTCCCAGGGTCCACAATCCCAGGACGGCCCAGCTGCCAGAACCCCAAAGCTGAGACGGCCCCACCATCCCCTCCTGAGGTTGCCCCCCGCCCCGCGCAGTCAGATGTCACTGTCTGGTGGTGAGGGCTCATACCCAGCGAGGCCACAGCCCTCACAGCCCCCAGGGTCCAACAAGCCACGCTGAGAGGCCCAACGGGGAGCGGCAGGGCCTGCATCACTCAAACCCCAACCCCAAACATGGGAAGATCACTCTGAGCCTGCCCGCGCAGGGTCAGGGCTCACCACCCCGACTCAGCCACGCAGGCCCGCGCCCAGGTAATGCTGCACGCTGCCCCGATAGGGTGAGTCCAGCTCTCTTGCTCGTCCCCAGACGCCGCAGGACCCCCACACAGATGCCCCCTGCAGGCTGGCCAGGGCCGGAGACCCTGCGGGCCGACGATCCGAGGAAGAGCACGCGCTCTCGGGCCGGTCCTGGGTGCACATTTAATTATGTTAAATATTAATAAAAGTCCAGCGTGACTGTGGGTGGATTAACAAAGCTTATAGGACTCGGGAGGATGATCTCACAGGACCCCACACACAGCTGTGGGGAACACAGAGGACGTCAACACCAGGTCTCAGGAGCACCCTGTGTCACTTTAGTTTGGGGTGACAGGCTCGCAGCCGGCCCTGGGAACGCGCCGGGGCCGACGGGAGGACCCTCGAGGCAGCGACAAGCCTTCTGCAGGAAGGTCTTGGGAGAAGCCGCCGCCAGGCGGCCTGGCTGGCGCGGGAGGGTGGGGGCTGCATATATAAAAACATTTGTATAATACACCAAATAATATTGGAAATAATAGCTCCAGTGGCACTTCTGTAAGAAGCAGGTTCACACCGCACGTTACCACATGCATAGCCGTGTGTAAGGAAACCCCGTGCTTATGCGGGGGGGGCGGAGTAGCAAAAGACGTACTGAAAATGACAAGTTGGCTGCAGAGGCGTTAATCCATGAGCGGGCTGGGTCCAGAATGGGGGAGCCTCACCAGCCACGGAACTGAAAGGGAGCCCACTAGGAAAACGCACCCACGCACGCACGCACCCCACACGGCAAATAAATAGGCACACACACTGAGTGATCTCTCCCCACCGCGCGCTGCGCTCGGGCCAGGTTCCCCGGCTGCCGCTGCCCCGGATGCCACCTTTGAGGGAGCAGGGGGCCCGTCCTGAACGTGGGCGTTCGGGACACAGCAGCTCATCCGTCTCTGATGCAGAGACCCCGGCCGAGGCTGGTGGCTGCAGGTGACAGTGCTGCTGGCTCTGGCTGGTTCACAGGAAGTTCCCTTGAAGACACCAGAGTGCAAGGCTTCATCAGGGTCGGGTGTTGGCTTCCATTTCCCCCCATCACATCCAAGAAACCACAAGACCAGTAGCCCAGCCACTGGCGAACCAAGCTGCCAAGTGGCCCAGCATGTTCTGTTAAGAACATGGCTCCCGGCATTCTCTCGCGAGCCCCAGCAAGCCACCCCAACCCCAGGCTTAGCTCACACACTGTTTCTGAATCAGGACAGAGCAGTCTGCTGACTGAGTAAAGGCCTTGGCCACACAGGGGGAACCTGGACCTTAAGCGCAGTGGGGAGCACAGTGTGGGGTGGTGGGGTGGACGCAGGAGAGGGGTGTGGCTCAACCCTGAAGCCTGTAGTGGGCCAGACCCAAGGCCTCAAACACCTGCCAGGTCTCGCGTAACCCCGTGCGCAAGGCGGGCCGAGGACCCGAGACTCTCCAGGACCCGCCAGGGCTGCTCCACGTGGCACTGACAGCACAGGTGTCCCTTCCGATCATAAGCTGAGTTATATTCCAATTATAAACTGAAGAAACTCTTGAGGAAGCATCTGAAGAGGCAGAGAAGAGACGAGGGCTGTGAGTGCAGAACGCCATTTGTGCTGGGGCGTCCATGGGCTCTCAAGCACAGGCGCAGCCCGGAGGCCGGGCCGGAGGTGGCGCACCACGAGAGCTGAGTCGTTCCTTTCTCCCCTCCGGTGAGCAGTGCAGGGAACACGGTTTATATCTGAGTAGACCAAAGGGCTGACTTTGGAGTCAAAGGGGGAGAAAAGGGCCTCTGTTCCCATTCTCTGCCCCCAACGGGGTTAGTGCTCTGAACAAGGGGGTCTCCAAACTGAGTGTGAAGTGTCAGTTCCGGGCTCACCTCCAGGGAGCTCATGCGGTCCCAGCGCCATCCACCCCAGGCTCAGGCTGTCCTGGAAGCAGGTGAGGCACTGCCCCCATGATGCTTCCCATGAACCCAGGGCAGCCCAGCCCGTGGCGGCCCCCCACCTGGCCACGGGGCTCTGGTCGTGGGCTTCCAAGGGCTCAGGCGGGAAGCGCCGAGAAGGGCTGGCCGCAGGCTCTGGAACATCACAGATTCTGAGTGCTTGTAACAGACGCCCGGCGGGAAGGAAGACTCGAATCCTGGGGTTTCTCCTCGCTGCACGTACATCGGTGCCCCACAAAGAGAGGCCTGGAGAGCCTGGTGATGACGGACAGCGGGTGGGCGCGGACGGAGGAGCTCCCGCCTCAGGTCTTCTTCCACGCGAACGCCTCGTCGGCGAGCACCTGTGCCAGTCGAGTGTTGAAGGGGCCGTAGAAGTCCTGCAGGATCTTCTGTGTGACTGGCCACATGGGCCCCAGGTTCCTGTCCTCGGGGCGCCGGGCATTGGAGGCGGGGCTCTTGGTCATCAAGGCCTCTTGCTTCTCACTTAAGGGCCCTGGAATGAAAAGATGAGAATCTTCCCGTGAGGCAGGAGGCCTGTCGGGAAGCAAGAGGAACTTGGCCCCCTCCCCACCAAGCTGTGTTGAGACAGGGGTTTCCCTGGAGAAGATGTTCAGAGACTAAAATGCTTTGGCTGCATCCATGCGAGACAGAAACGGCATCACGAACAGCAGAGGCTACGCCAGCGTGCATGTCGCCTGCCACGCTCGCAGGACTCCCCAGCAGTGCGCCCTGAGCCTCCCTTCATGGCTTCCTTTCCATCTGCCCTTAGCGCGGCTGGCAGCCTGTCCCTGGCTCACCACGCAGCCTGCCGGGCACAGCCCGTGTACTGAGCAGCAGCAGATGGAACCTGCTACCAAGGTTTCTCCTCCAAAGAGCTGATGCAAAGGGCCTGTGGCCCACTGCCGGAGCTCCCCCGGCAGCAGGCTCCAGTGGGCAGAGGCTGGGGAACGAGCCAGCAGGGCCGCCCTGAAGCTGCCACCTGCACGCCCAGCCTTTCACTGGCTCCCCCAAGGCGCTCGGGGAGAATACAGAACCACCACATCCCGGCGCGCGGCGGTTCTGCGCACGGGAGGAAGAGTCCGTCTCTGGGATGAAGACGAGCTGACTAGCATGACCGCCTCTGCAGGTGGCCGAATCACAGAAAAATGGTTCTAAGCCCTCAGAAGGGAAAAGAGATCACGCTCCATCACGTGACGAGCTCTCCAAGGAAAGGGAAAAGGAAAGCAGTGGTGGGGGAAAGATCAAGAAATATTCAACTGCCAAAATGCCCAGGGGAGCAAATCAGAGCTGGGGCATCCCGGGAAGGACGGTGGGCTCCCCTCCAGCCATTCCAGCTCTGCTTTGGGAGCCGCATGCGCCTGGCGGCCCCTGGGCCCAGGAGACACCGCCACTGGTCTTCACCGGGGCCTCCCCGGCCTCCAGGCAATGGCGTCCTCAGTTGCAGGCAGGCGCCCCTCCCCAGAGGCCCAGGAGTGTGATCAGCTACTACCCCAAGGGTCACCACGGAGACAATACAGTAACCTGCCCATTCCCTCCTCCACATCCAACAGCCTCCCAGGACTGCTGCAGCCGCCCCCGAACCCCTGCCCAGCCTTAAGGCTCACAGCCATTTCCTTCCGGGTGAACTTCTGTGAGACTGGAGCCCATCGTCATGACAATGCCCGCCTTCCCTTGGTCATTCCACCAGTTATTGGGCCTTTGAGCCACGGAGTCCCTCTGTGTCCCCCTGCAGGGGACCCCTCGCTGCGGGGCTGGGCCCCACATGCCCCCGGTACTGGTTCACAAGCTGCTGAACAGCCTCCCACTCGACTGTGCCCACTGGCTCTGGCACCTGCACGCAGTCTGGGGGCCACTGTCCCCAGCCCAGGCCCTGCTCCCCGGCTCCAGTGAGGTCATACCGAGGTTGAGAAACTGGAAGACCCTGTGCATGGTGTACTTGACGCTGGACGCGTGGTCTTCCAGGCGGAGGATGAGGAACTGCTCCTTATTAAACACGGTGAGCCAGTCCAAGAGGTACACGGCGTACAGGCCCACCTGGAGCCTCACCTGGGCAAAGGAGAAGGCGCATTACTTCAGGAGCGACACCTCAATACTGCAAGAGGAGATCCCACCCGGGGTGCCCCAGCTGACGACGGCCCTCGGAAGTTGGGTTCTAAACACCACCTGTTTCGCTTCTTGCTGACGGTGAAGCCACACGCAGGGCGGCCTTTAGTCCTCGCCGCTGCGCTGCAGGAGCCCCAAGGAGGCTCCCATCTCAGGGAGGACTGATGAAGGGCGAGGCCCAGACCCCCACCAACTCCCACCATCTCTGCTCCTGCCCAGCACACGACAGCCGTGCAAACACCAGCAGACGCCAGGAGATAAGCCAGGCGAGGTACCCCGAGCACCTGGGCCGCATGGCTGTCCATAACCACAGGTATGTGCACCTCAATGCAGGCAGTGCTCGACCTTGACCTCCTCAAGGGCAGGGACCAGGGCCCTTCCCTGGGCCTTCCCAGCGGGCCTGGGCACTGACCCTGCCAGAAAACAGACATAACAAGACGAAGAAGCGTCCGACAAGCACGGACAGAACGTGCAGCCGCTCGCTAGTCTCCTCTCTCACTGCTCTCTGTCCATTTCATTATTTTTTCAATCGAGTAGGAGGAGGTGGAGGAAGAAAAACCACTAGCCCAGAGACGCCAAATGGAATGAAGACAAGAGGGCGTTTAGGGGGAGGGCCCCATGCACTGAAGACCAGAAAACATCAGTGCTCATGAGAGCTGAGCAAAGCCTTGAGATCAGCGGTGTAACAGGGGGGTCCCCAGGAAAGGGGAAAGTTCCAGGTTCCCTGCCCCACCCAAGGGAGGGTGGAGCAGAGCAGGGAGAGAAGAAGCTGCAGAGGAGACTGAGGAAGGAAGGAAGCAGGATGGAGCCTAGAGACACGTGAAGAAACTGCGCTTGTCTTTTGGTTGTGGACTGGGTGACACAGATGTGGGTGAGACCCGTGGAGAGGTGACAATGGCAGCTTTTATCTTGATGTTGATTTTGCTCTTTTCCTTCCGGACTTGTCCGGTTGTTTGTGACCCTTTTCTGAGGGTCCCCACTGGAAGATGCTTTAGACTTGTAGCAGGCTTTGGGGCCTTGTTCTGGGCCGATCCCATATGGATGGACTTTTACCCACGAGGGGACGGGTCACTTTGGGTGCTTGATTTAGAAACTAGACTCTTTGCCTTTCCTGTCTTGTTTCCTAGTTTTATTAAAGTTCCTTCCCATTAAAGTCTCCTATGTTTTGTGTTGATGCGGCGGATGGCAGAACCCATGTAGAATAGGCAGGTTTGCGGGGTTTGGGCTGCCCCTCTCCCTGTCCTATAACAGCGGCTCCAGCCAAGGGGGACCCTCTTCCACGTCCCTGGGAGACCCACCCACGACGCCCCAGCGCCGACCTCACCACTCCCAGGAAGCCCGCGCAATGTGATGGGGGGAGGCGCCACTGAGGGGCAGCCGCTGCCCGCCTCTCCTCCCACCAAGGCTGGGCTGCATCAGGCACGCGACGGAGCCTGTCGCCACCAAGGCCCAAGTCGCAGCACCAGGCACAGACGCAGGAATGCGTGAAGGGGCAGACACCGCAACCCCAAACATGCCTCCTTGGCACGGGGCTATTTTGAGCTGAAAGTGTTTGAGGAGAGTCTCTGCCCTCCCCGGTCTGCCTGAAAGGACCTAAAACTGCAAGGGTGTCCCCACCGCCCTCCCCACCAGAAAGGACGCAAGTTAATCCCCAGAGACACGTCTTGGCCGGGCGCACCACTAGAGGATTCAACAGGACGGGCCTCTCCAAGACCGGCCCATCCCTTCCGGCTCCCCCGGATATTCCCCTCCCCACAATCTGCTGCCCGAGAAACTCAGCGTCCCTCCCCCTTGTCTGTGGCTGATCACAAGGCCCGGTGCTGTCAGGACGCCACGGAAGCGGGGTCCCGACTCCCCGCTGAGCTACTCCTCTCTGCACCCCGAGCGTGCAGGTGCACCTGGCAATAAACGTCTGTGTTTCTCCCACCTGTCTCCTGCCAGGCCGACTCTCAAGGCCCCAGACAGACCCTCAGCCGGTGGAGGGAAAGGCTGGCTCTCCCTGTACTCCAGGGGAACCGGCCATCCCTCCCGAAACCTCACAACAGCCCGCGAAGCGACATTAATGCCCGCATCACACTGAAGCTTCTTGTGGAAGTTGAAATGGTGGCGATCACACAGCCCGTGGACGCCTGCTGGGAATGCAGCCCTCACCACTGTCGCCAGCTGTCCGCGTGCAAAGCCCACCCCTCCCACCCGTGTGGACGCGGACCCTGTGTTTAAGCCCATTTGTGTCTTTCCCCCCAGGCGACACACTCTGGCAGGACAACCTGCATCGTACCTACTTCCTCCACATCCCACCTTCTAGGTAAAACGGCTTGATGACAAGGCAGAGGAAGCAAAACCTCTCGACCTCGACCCCCACCACAGCTGGAAGTCCCCTCGCCTCCGCCTCAAGCACACCTACTCCCGCTTCCACGTCACGTGGAAGCGCCGGCACTGGCCTCCCCGCCCACCAAACCTGCTGAAAAGAAAGGCCCTTCAGCAACCCAGGGAGCTTCTGAGTAGAAAACCAGCCCTCAGCTGAGCCCAGCAAGTCACCATGAACGGCTGCTTTTGCATATGAAAAGGCAAGACGCAGACAGCTATAATCTTGGAGGAAAGCAAGAAAAAAGAAAAGGGGTCCATGAAAAGCTTTCCCCGGGGAGACCCTGCGAAGAAGCACTCCAAGTCACGGGGGTCATTTTCAAACCACAGAACAAGCCTCCATCTGAGAAAGATGCTCTTAAAGCAATTGGAGGGTCCGTGTCCTCGCCGCTGCCAACTGCCAGGGGTGTTCTGAGCCCCGCTAAATGGCAATCTTCCTAAATGAGCCTTCATTCTCTGGAAGAGGAGGAGCCAGCATTGTCACCAGGAGCGATTAGCAGGGAAGAAAGCAGGGCGCCAGCTGAGAGGGCCCATCCGCTTTTACAGTTTTTACACCCAGGAACATTTGTTTTTGCATTCGACACCCTGAAAGGCGTGGGGAGAGGCATCTGCACATCAAATGCGGCTCTGTGTTTATATGCTAAATCCAGCCCACGATGCCACTTGCATAACAACCACGGAGTAGCCGATGTGGGGGGCAGGGCTCCCCGGACACTCACAGGCATGGCGTTGTTGAGGGTGTTGTTGTAGACGCAGGCGCGCAGCGAGTAGTCCAGCACGCAGCTCTCGAACAGCTGCAGCGCCTCCGTCACCTTCTCGTGGAAGTCATCCGCTGATTTATTGGAACTTGCAAAGTAGAGGTAGTCTGAGTACAACCTGGGGACGAAGGACACGGTTAGTTTTGCCACCCGCAAAGGTGAAATTGCGCCATTTGGGTGACAGTGAAAACCAACCAACGTGCAGTTACAGTATCTGGTTTTGTTCATTCAAATACAACCATTTTCCTTTGTTCCTCTGCAGACAGCCACTTCCACCTCCCCTCACAGCTCGGCTCTTCTGCGCTGAGTCCACCCTGGCCCCAGACACACACAGAGCAGGAGGCTTCGGGCTGACACCAGATCACAAACATTGTAGCAAGAGAGGCCATGACAATTTTATGTTCCTCCCGGACCCTCTCTCCACCCCTGGAAGCAACAATAACAAGCAGATCTGCCCCTTTCACAGTCTCGCAGCCCCCACCAGCGTCCCGGGCCTGCCCGTGGCCGTCGGGATGCTGAAAAATACACACGTGTGGGATGTATCTTTCAACGGTGGTGAGGACCTATTTTTAACCCGATTTAGAAATACCCCACTACGCGTGTGCTCCCCGGATCTGCTCACACGGATCACATGCATGTAACGACGTTTCCATCCAGGAACTGACAGAGTCTCCGTGACTGAACTTCTGAACACGAGTGTCTGTCTTTGTATTTGAACAAAAATCCTGCAAGAATTTTTCTGGCAGAACATGGCTTCCTAGCAACCCGGGAGCCAGATTCATGCACCCTCAAGATCTGATGGGGTTCCTTCCCCGCCTCACCCTCAGTTGAGCCAGAGTCCCCCTAACTCTGACGCTGCTCTCAGTAATTTTCCACCCGCAACACCCCTCCGGTCTGCCCTCACCCCAGAGCCCTGGCCCCCTGCCCTGCCTTCCCTGTCTGTGAAAAGTGGCAGAATCATGACTGTTTTGCTTATTTTAATTCTCTGCAAAAAAAAATTTTATTGTACTTTCGACAGCATAGATTTTTTTACACCATGGAATATTTATTTTTCTGCCATCAGATAAATAAAAAACAAAATACAGCAGAGTAGTAAGCAAACTTCTCACCTCGAGTCTCTGGATAAATCTCCCCATCAGTCCTGACTGACAGTCACAACCCCCAGAGGGGCCCTTTGTTATCAGCTTCTTCCTTTCAGGGAGCACTGTTCAGGTCCCCCCAAAGAATTAAGCTAAGGCTTTATAAAAATGTCTTCTCGGAGCAATGCCACAACCCCCACAAACCCCACAACCACTCTCTGGAGAAAAAGACTCAGGCAGTAACCTTGGATGAGTAAAAAGCCGGACGTATTAAAACCATTCAGAAAAAGTCAAGGGAGACAGCAAATATATCAAGACTACTTATCCACTTGGACCTCAAAAAGCTGAAGCAGGCACACTGTGTGAAAAAATTGAAATGTAAATTTTAGTCTTTAAAATCAACTGGACAATCAGGAAGTGGGGGTCAGAGGCCAACATGGAAAATGCAGAAGGGATTTATTTAGTTGACATGAGCTCTCAATGAATCATGACAGAACGACAGGGACACTGCTGCAAACTCAGGATGCATTAATAGAAGTATGACATTGAAAATGTGGGAGGGTGTCACTCTGCTTTACCCTGGCAGGTCAGGGCCCCAAAGGATGTTTGCCTTTGGCAACAACAGCCAAAAGGTATGGGGGGGAGCAGTTCCACCTGGGGGAGCAAGACTCAGCAGGAAGGATGTCAGCTTCAATGCGAAGAGGCTGTCCAGGCCTGATAGACCCGTCCCCTTCCCCTGAGGGACTGACTAGTGAATAGAAGGTTTGGTAAAAAAGACTGCTCTGATACAAGGGAAAACATCTCCAGCTGGGGCAGTCCACTTAAGGACAGGAAGAGCAGCAGAGGCTGGAGGAGACACAGGGCCCTGGGCAGTGTACAGCCCCGACACCCTCCCAGACCCGAGTTTCATGGCTGCCCGGCTCCCTCCTGCTAAACCACCTCATTTTCTTACTCTCAAACCATCCTGAACAGATGGGCGTTGCATTTGGCCAGGACTGTTTCCAACAGCAATTCCAAATATAAGCCCAAACGCATTCCAGGCCTTCTGTACTGCGGTTATTTTGGAAGGTTGCTGGGGCAGCCGTGACCGTGGGCCTGAGCTCAGAGGCTCGGCAGGGTTCTTTTCCTGGGAACCCCATCCTGAGACCCCAACACTGGTGGGAGCAGAACTGGATGTGTTGGGCGACAGGGGGTTCCTTCAACCCGGTGTCCCTGAAAGGGATCTGGAGGGACTGTGTCTCTTCCCAAGGGACAGAGGGCCGGCCCCCGGGGAGCCTGAAAGCCCAGTAAAATCTGACCCTGCGGCCATCGAGTTGATTCAACAACACTGATGGGGCGTGGGCCTGAAACTGAGCCAGCAGAGAGGGGCCTACAGGCCGCTGAGAAATAGGAGCAGCACTGCGCAGGGGGGCCCTGCCAGGCTCGCTCGCAGGAGGGGTGTGTAGCTCCTGAATCCTCTCCACTTCCACCCCCAACACGGCCACCCCCACATGGGGCTCTCCCTGCTCATGACCGCCCTGGGGGCTATTTACGGCCATCACCCGACTCGGGGGGCTCCCACGGCCACACAGACCAGGGGCTTTGGGCTGGGGCCCAAGACACCCCACCAGCCTGACCCCAAAGCCCATGGAGCTCAGCTGACTAGGTGCGGTGCTGGCGCTGAGCTGAGAGTCGGGATTTTGTTGTTTTGATGTTTTTATTGTTTTAGGTGCAGAGCGACTTGGAAGGAGAGTCAGTTCTGCTGCCAAAGTGCTGAGGGCCTGACGGGAGACTGGCACGGCATGGGCACGCAGCAGCGCAGCACGCAGACACCACAACCAGCACAGCCACTTCACTGGCGCGGTCGGGGGCAGACGTGTGTACGGAACAGCGTGTCGGGCAGCCAGGAAAATTCCAGCGACCGCAAATCGACCTCCAGGTACCCAGCGTAGAGCCAGGCCCCACCATGGTCCTCTATCACTTGCAGTTAAAATTCACTGCTTCCTGCAAAAGCTGTTTTAACGATTTTTAGGGCTTTAGATGTTTAGTTTTTGAGCTCAGGTTTTAGTTGAAATTCTTAAATGACAATGTGCCCCTCCACTGGCCTTCCCTGTATGTGGAGGCCCCGGAGAGTCCCAGCTGCTGCGTGGCTTGGTGGGAGCCTCTCCTGCGCTGGGTGTCTCTCCCAGTCACGTCATTTGAAATTAAGATTTAACCCATATATGGTGAGAGTCACCCTGTTGAAGGGAACCAGCCATTTTCGGGAAATGCACAAAGCTGTGCAACCATCACCAGTCTAATTCTAGAACGTTCTCATGCCTTATGCTGTTTTTGACCTGTCGGTCCCCAAAGGCCCACATCAGGAGTCACTGAGACCACCGAAGCACCCAGAGGTGGGGCAGGTGCCAGGTCCCAGTCGGGCAGGTGCCACGGCTCCGCCCGCCATGGCTCTGGCCTGACGCCCGTGGCTGCTCTCTGGCTCCCAGAGGACGGAAGCGGAGGCTGATGCGGCAGACAACGGGGAGGCTGGCAGCTCCCCACGGGGTGTGGCCCCACTTCCCGAGCTCCCACCACCCTGGCCAGCTGCTCCTTGGCAACTCCCACATGCGAGGCCACACAGCTGACGCGGGGCACCCCAGCCCTCATGGTCCCATAGCCACGTGGAGGGTCGTCTACGTGGCACGAAGTGGCTTCCAGAGCAATGTCCTCGTCCTGTACCACCTGCCCACCGGGCCCCTTCAGCTCCCTCCCAAGCCTGATCTTCGGTCCTTGGCCGAAGTTGGCCACGAGGAGGATAGGGGCCCACGCAGGCAGCCCCGAGGACCCTCCTCTCCACAAGCCACCTGGCTTACAAGCACTCTCGCCCCTGCGCTAGGTGTCTGCCCAGGGGAGCACGGAGGAGGGGGCGCTGCCAGGCTCAGGCAGTGGCAGAGCCAGGCCAGAGCCCCAGGGTGTGGCCCTCACCGACCACTGCCTCCAGGGCTGGCCAGTGTGTGGCCAGGGCCACCGCCCCTCCTTTGGAACACTGACCAGCCCCCTCGGTTGGGGTGGGAGGTCCCTAACCCACACTTGGCTCCAGACTCCCCTCCAGAGCCCTCCCGTACCCCACCAGCCCCGCCTGGGTGCACGCCTCACCTCAGACCATCCACAGGCCAAGACCTGGCGGGGCCTCCTCTCCATGGGCCCCTGGCCACACACCGCCCTCAGCAAACAACCCATGTGGGAACACTCAGGACTGACGGTGACTTTGCAAACCTCTCCCCTCAGAAAAAACAGAGCTGAGTACACGGGGACCTCAGCGGGATGCTTTTTCTCCATCTAAAGCTCGATGCGGCTCTGAACAGCTTCAGAGACACCCTCACACAGGCCCAGCCACCCTGGCCCAGACACCGCCAGGGCCCCCCACGTCTCCCCAGGAGGCCTGAGGCCAAGCCCGCCCTGAGGCTCCGGGCTCTGTCCTGTGAAAGGGTGTCAGGCCACCATGAGGCCCAGGTGAAGGTGACCGACACCCAGCCAGGCAGCCTTGGGGAAGCAAAATGCCTGGGATTGAACAGGCAGCTTAGAGACTCCTCAATCTCCTGCAGACAGCTACTTGGGCCTCTGACACCCCCAGCGCCCCAAAAAAAAGGTACCTGAGAGGGGAGGGGGATGGAAATGGATCTGTGGCTGCCGCCATGACCTTCATACTGCCAGTGGCTTTTCCTGCTCCTTCTCCTGCCCACAGGGGACTTCACGGAATTCCCCTTTTTGATGCTCTATATTAATAATTAATAATTAATCCAGTGGAGGGCCTCCCCGGTGGCGCAGCGGTTGAGCGCTGGGTTGCGAAGCTGCCCGCGGCCCCTGCGGCACCGGTTCAATCCCCGGCTGCTCCCCGGCCACCGGAGGAGGGTCCCGCATGGCGCGCAGACCTCTCCTGCCGCCCGCTGCTCCCCTCAGCAGTGTACGTCGGTCCTTCTGCCTGCTCTGCTCCCCGCTCTGGCTCTGGTGAATTCTCTCACCCTCCCGCACTTCTGACTGTGCCCAGTGCTTGTATAAACAAACAAACAAACAAATAAATAAATAAAAACATGCCTCTATAAAAAAAAAATAAAATTAAAAAAAAATAATAATCCAGTGGCAATGAGGAACAGCCAGCTCTTTAAGCCACGTACAAATGTGTTACGGGGAAACAGGGGACCCTGGGAGCCCGCTCTCTCTGCCACAAAGCACCCACAGGGTCCCTCTGCTGCCCACCCGCGCCCAGCCACCGGAAGCAGGCGAGGTGTTTGGAGGGCTGAAGACCCACGCTTGGCTGGAGTGAAGGTCCAGGGCAAGTCAACAGCCCCCCGACCCCCAGTTCCAACCACATGTGGGCACCACCCTGGGCAGGCGTCTTGCTCTCCCTGACGTGTGGCAAGTGACGAGTCCATCCGGCCCACAGCACCACAAAGACCGGGCCGGCTGTGGGCATCATCCTGCTCATGCCTTCCAGCCCAGTCCCTCCCAGGAGCTGCCCCCTACCCAAGCTTACACCTCCCCAGGGCTTACACCAGCCCCCGTCCAGAGACTGCTGAGCACTTCCCCGGTGGCTGAGACCTGAGTCACACCCTAGCCCTCCTGGCCAGACCTGCCCTGTCACCCCTCACAGGGCTTGTCCCCTTCACCTCCTGCACCCTGGCAGCTGACGGAAGGCAGGGGTGAAAGCTGGGCTCCTCCTTCAGACCGAGCAGGGATTAAATCCCTCTGGCCACTTTCCAACCAGGTGACTTGGACAGCTGACCTCACCCTGCTGGGCCCACACGCCTCACCTGTGAACTCATCACAACACCTCTCACCTGCTGGCAAACTTCAAAGGAGGCTCTGCCTGAGCCAGGCTTGAGGGGTGCTCAGTTAACACCAGGGGACATAATGGGGGGCTAGCCCCACCCCCTCTTCTAGGCAAGCCTCAAGGACAGCAGATGGGCAGGACTTTGCTCTCCATAACTAGCATATCTGGGCACTCAAGAAGTAACCAGTGAGTGGGTGAATGAGTGCTCCTTGGTTATTATTATTATTATTAGCTACTATTGTGACATAACATAATAATATTAACTAATAATTATATAATATTTTCCCACTTACCCAAGACTATGTAAATGTTACGTGTAATAAATCATTTAATTCTCATAATCCTAGAAATAGGGTTGCTATCCCCCATGTCAACAATGAGAAAGCACAGAGAGGTTAAGGAACTTGCCCAAAGTCACACATCCAGTGAGTGGCAGCAGGGGTGAATGCAGACCACGGGTCCCCCAAGGCTGTCTCTATCACCTAGATGCTCACCACCCGCCTCCCCGCAGGGGAATGAAATCCATGAAACCAGACCCTGTCCACAGGCTTAGCCCTCCTGCGACTTTTGTCTGAACGCCCGACTACAAATAAATGGATACATTTCATTAAGCACCTCATTCCATCCCTAGTATATCATAAATAGATTAATTATTTAGCCAGGGTCGTTAAAATATCAGATTATATAACAGATGAAGAAACTACTGCCCAGCTCCAGGGCTGACGGCACATGGGTCAAAATCAAGTTCTTCCTCTGTTCTGAGCTGAGCTCTCTGACCCTTTGGGCACCTCATAAACCCCGAGGGACCCACCAGGCGATACTCCAAGCAGGCGTCCAAGCACAGCATGCGGAGAAACCCCAAGGTGCATGGCGGGAAGACCCTCACACGGCGCACAATCTGCTCCAGCGTCGCAGGGAGGGATGAGCCAGGTTGGAGGGTCAGCAGCTTCAGCCATTTTTCACATGTATTGGGGCTGTAACTGCCACTGAGTTAAGAGCCATCCCCCCAACCACCTCACAGATGAAGAAGCAGGAGGCTGATGGGACAAGCGCTTGGAAAGAACCGTCTCTCCACTTAAGGATCGAATTAAAAGAAGAAAAATCCTGCTTGTAATTGGGGACTTCTTTTCAATTAATTAACTGGGCCAATTTAGCCCAGAAATGCCTTGCATTTCAAACTGTCATTATCTCCTACAGAGAAACTTGTAACTAGAATTCCCGGCTGGCCCCTCTGACCGTGAGAACCAGCCCGTCCACTCCGGCCCCAGCTCTTCGTTCTCTGAAGGGCCTGACTGACTGTTAACATCTTTCCCTGGAAACACAAAGGGGACTTCATTCCAATGACTATTTGAGCATTTCCAAAACCTCCACCTGTAATCAATGGCAAGGAAACAAGATAAATGCGAATCTCAGACCAGAAACTAACGTTCCCCTCACCCCGGGCCCGCCTCTCCAGGCCGGTGCGTAGAAGGACAAGAACAACTGGGTCCAAGCCCAGTGGGGCCGGGTGACCCAGGGAGCCTCCCTGGCGGAAGGACGGTAGGGCTGGCGGCCAAGACCCATCTAGACCGATGGCCTGAGTGTTTGTTTCTTCAAGAGAGACCCAAACAGCCAACACTCACCGTCCTTCCCGGCCAGGACGAGGCCGAGCCAGCCATTTCCGATAGGTCACGAGTCACGGGTTTAAAAAAGGAAGACATTCCTATTGTCACATATTTTTATAAATGTTTTAAAAGTGATGAAACAGCTGCTGCTGTCAGCAACCCCGCAGAAAACACCCAAGAACACAAATTCAGGCCGGGGGGCGCGGGGAATGCTGGGCAGGGGATCACTCTGGAACGTGGATTTGGCTGTTTCTCCTGTGTGAGGCTGGTGCCTGGGGTCTTGCAGGATCAGAGCAGAGGACAGAGAGAGCAGGTACAGTAGGTAACGTCTAAGAGGGACCCAAGGCCCCCGCTTCTTGGCTCTGTGACAGCCTCCCCAAGCGGCATCTAACAACAGAATGTGGGAGTGACGGGGGAGCGTCTCATGGTCACGTGACAAAGATCTGGCCTTCTGTCCAGCAGACATTGCCCCTCTGGGCAGCCACATGGCGAGGTCCTGGCCTAACTATGGAGGGCAGCCTCCAGCCAACAGCCCAAAGAACAGACCCTTCTTCTGGGCGCCAGAGGACTGAATTCTGCCAACATTCCTGTGAGCATAGGTGAGACCCTTCCCCGTACAGCCAAAGTTCTTACCCTGGACCACCTTCCTTCTTTGTTTACTCAGCAAACTCTTACTCAGTCTTCAAAACCTAGTCTGGCCTCACCTCCTCCAGATAGCCTTCCTGCACGTTCACACTCACGCTCACACATGCACACTCCCCTGCATAGATAAGGTGACTAGAAGAAAATATGAATAACCGTTATCTGGGGACATGTTTCTTTAAGAGAGTTTTCCTTACAGTTTTTAGAAATTCCCACAGCATATGCCCCAGCCGTCCCTGACAAGGACACCAGCCAGAAAGGCGTCGGGATGGATCAGTTCCCAGGGCTGCCATCACAGACCCCCACCAACCACAGCTCAGGACAACAGGCATCTCTTCTCTCAGTCCTGGGGGCCAGAAGTCTGGGATCGGGGTCAGTAGGGTGGGCTCCCGGGGCTCCAAGGAAGGGTCTCTTTTCACTTTGCTCACCAGGCCTCTCCCCGTCTCTCGACACCCCCGTGTCTGTGCCCAATTTCCTCCTCTCCTGAGGACACTGGCCAGTGGAGCAGGGCCCATCCTAATCCAGCAAGACCTCACTTCACTGAGTCCATCTGCAAAGACCCTACTCCCAAGCAAGGTCAAAGTCACAGTCACACCTGGAGGGAGTGAACATACACCCGGGGGCCGGGGACGTAATTCCCCCGCAGCCAGCCCGCAGTAGTGAGACACAGGGGCCCCCACACTGGAGAACCACACAAGGAAGGCCAGCTCCAGGGACCTCCCACAGATAGACCCACTCTCAGCAATGGAAGAACATTTGTGCAGTGTCCCGAGCTGGACTGGCTATCTTGGTGGGGAAATGGTCCAGACTGGAGGCCGGGGTCACTGACCTGGTGGGTCAGAGGAGCGTGCGACTAAATGACTCTGAGGCCCCATGGGTGTTAGTCACGCAGTGAGCACCGCCCAGCGCCGGCGGGTCACCCGCACCTGTCTCATCCATATCGGCCCGCTCGGCCTCAGCCACGCTGGCGGCCCCTGCTCCTTGGACAAAGCAGCCCTCACCACCATTTTCCCTTTCTTCGGTCTCTCGAGGAAAGTGGGAGATGGCACTTTCTGAGCCAGCCGGGGTAAAGGCACCCCTCCAGTCAGGACACGGGAATTCTAGGCGCTCACCCTGGGAGAGCCCTGACACCCCTCTTCCTGGATTTTTCTCATGTCCCGACTATACCCAAGGGAGATAGTGTCCCCACGTCAAAGCCGCCCAAGCTGAGGCCCACTGGCCAGGCTCAGAGTTACTTAGGAAACAAGCCCCAATTTGTTTAGACACAGTGAAGATTGCCCCAAGAATAACATTTACATAAGAAATAGCAGTGACATTGCACGTTAAGCTTGTTTATTTATAAAAAGAAAAAAAAAAACAGGCAAACTCTTGCTTGCGATGAGAAGGAAGAGTGGTTTTCAAAACTGCCTTTTCTTTCGCCCCCTAAATAAACGCCTCCAGCGGCTCACCTCTCCACGGGGTCCCGCAGCATGACGATGAGCTTGGCGTCCGGCTGGAAGGCATGGATGAAGTCTTGCGTCAGGAAGGGCGGCTCGCCCGCGGTGCTGTTGTCATAGAAGAAGGTCCAGGCGTTGTTGTCCCACATGGTGGAAGCACTGGCCTCCCCTGGAAACAGGACGCTGCAGTGAGGGGGCTGGCGCTGCATGAGGGGCCAAGCCTCGCTCCCTGCCTTCCCCGGAAACAGCCGTGGCTGTGACAGTGACTGTGACGGGCGAGCTGAGCACAGGAAGAGCACCCTCAGCCCAGGCACGCCCCCACCCCTCCATTTTGAAATCAAGGTGGCCCCCGAGACACTGAGCTCCCCTCGCCTCCCAGATCAGAGTTGAGGGGAAAAACTCCCCCAGCTCTGTCTCCCAATTTCACGATGTTTCACTTGGCTCACCACGCATAGCTCCGGAGCGTTTTAAGGGGCCACTAAGAATGTTCTAAACAGTTTCCTTCAAAAAAGCGTCAGGAATAAAGGACTCATTTGGGGAAGCTGGTCCTCCTTATGAGACCGGATGCAATGGGCATCAGGCCTTTTTCGAAATCACATCGTCATTCCCAGAGCCCGCTCCAGACCAAGGAGAGGCAGGTCAGCAGGAGGCTGGTGGGCAGTCTCGGGCCTGTGTCCGGTACGCCCGCCACCCCATGCCCGCAGCTGGCACTCACACAGCTCTGACCAGAGGGGCAGAAGCCAGGGCAGACATTGATCACGGTCTGCAGGAGTGAAGGATGAAACGGCTCAGCCTCCATTCCAGGACAGGGGTGAGGCCAAGACAGAAGCTGAACATCCCTCTCTCAGCTGATTGAACCAGTTCTGATTTTTTAGGGCAGGCTTCAGAGACTCAGAGGAAAAAGCAAATCAATGCATCATACACTCAACTGCCTGGCACTTTACATAAGGCGATGTGACAATTCTGGAGTGACTTCCTCGGGGGAAATCGCAGCCACAGACCCCTAGCCCCTCGACTAGGGGTGAGCGTTCGCAGGGTGCAGCGGCCAGCAGGGCCCCGTTTATTCCACCAACTGTGTGATCACACCCAGGTGAGCACCTCTGTTCTGGTCTTTATTCTTTTTTAAGAAATAACCCCGCAGAATACAGAAAAGATAAGTCAGCCAGGGCCCTTCGAAAATTCTACTCACAGCAAATGAAGGCATATCAGTGCAAGGGAAGTACAGAAAACTTGTCAAATCTCAAGAGTGAACTGGTTCCATGACCATGGGGGCATCTGTCCCTCCACCTGCGGTCTGTCCAGCCACCCATCACCTCTCCACCCAGAAAGCATTCATTCGGTGCCTAACAAGTGCTTGCCACTGCGCTTGGAATTGGGGGCAGATAAGAGAATTGCCCTCCACTCTTTGACCTTGCCAGCTAAGGAAAGACCCCCAAATCAATAAACAACCAGAGCCCAATTTTGCAAGTTCAATGTCACATAGCCCCATGACAGGGCAGCAGGGGGGCCAAGAGCAGAGTTGGAGCCTTCCTAGGTGTCTAGAGAACCCAGCCATGGAGCCCTGCAACTAGTCTTCAGCCCAGGCCACTGAGGAAAGGCAGGCCGGTGGGCCACAAGGAGGAGCAACACCCTCCCCCAGGGTCCAGCCAGAGGAAGCCCTGCAGAGCCGGTTGGCGTTCTGCAGCAGCCCAGGCCAGATCGGTCCAACAAGCCATGTCACAGCTGTGCAGACTGTTGCAGAGACAGGCTGACCCGTCACATGGCTCAGGGCTGGCCAGACCGGCTGGCCACCTGCCTTCAAACTCCCCCACTCTACCTGTGGGTGCATCAGCCTTTAGAGGTCTTCCTTTCTAAATCTAGAAGTATATAAAATTAGGAAATCAAACACAGGTTTTCCTGTCTCATTTATTGTCTTAGGCTCCACTTCCTGGCCCTGGGACACATATTTTTCATTCTTTCATGAGGACGTGAGCTTTTCCTAGAGGCTTACAATGTGAGAGTCATGGTCAGATATGCCTGAGACTTGTGGTTTGGACCCAATGTTGCAAGAAAACAGCTAATGGCCAATCTACACTGATGGGGGCGGGGATGGTCTCCTCTGGCCCCAGGACTTGATTTCCTTGAGCTAAAAATGAATGAGTGAATGAATGAATGAATGAACAGGGGTGCAGGCATGCAAGCCCAGCCCCTTAGCCACGAGTCATGAGTAAAGAATCATCTTTCGAATGGTTGATTCCAAACCCTCTTAGTTGCTAATAGATTCACAGAACTTGCGGAATCAAAATATAATAGATTGAGGAAAATAAAAAAATCGAGGGCTGCCTCAGTAATCAATTTAAACAAAATAAGCGATTCGATTTCTCGCTTTGAGCAGGTGTAAGTGGATGAATGTCTTGTAAGCTGAATCCAATACCAAGAGCAAATAGATACGTTTTTCATAAAACATTCTGTGAATTTTTAAAACAAATGATTATTTCTCAAACAAGCTCGTTCTGAAAGTCTCAAGGCATTAGGTCCACAAAGGCTGGGCTTCTCAGCAGCAATTAGTCACCAAGGACAGGCAGGGCTGCAGCTATTTCAGGAGAAGCCGCCTCTGAGTTCAGCGGGTCCCAGCAGCCAGGGTTACAAAGGCCACAGGTATTAAATTGATGACGAATCATTAACTGCATCTCTGCTCCCCCACCCAAACGGACTCAGATCCAGCTATCATGAAAAGAACTCAAGTTTGCCTGCTTAATTTAAATAAAAACAAAGAAATGGCAACTTTAAGTCACGTCAGCCACACTTGAGTCTCCACGAATGAGAAAGTCTAATTGTCTCTGCTTTGCAGAAGCCAGACGAGGGAGGCGGCCTGTCACCAGGGGTAAGAGAGGCTTCGTACCCAGCCACAGGCCTCTGACCTGGCCCGGGGCAGGAGCTGAGCCCTCTTGGGGGCTGCCAGAAGGAAACCTTACCGATAATGATTTTATTCATCTTGCTCTGCTCCTTCTCAGAGCTGGCCTGCAGTCCTTGATGAATCTGGTGTGCCGCCAGATCAAAGAGGTCCAGATAATCTTCCACGGGGTAGCGGTCCCGCAGCCCATCTCTCAGGCGGACAATTCCTATGAGAACAGAGAACCCGGAATTTCTGAAGACAAAGCTACGCTGGGGTGGTGGCCTCCTGCGAGTGATGCAATGAGGTGGAAAGATCCCAGGTTCCAGCTGTAGCAGCAAAGGGTGCGCCCAGGTAGCCGCATGGGGTTGGAGGGGGTGGAGGGGTATCTACAAGCCCCTGCCCTCCTTTACCCACCCACACGCCTCAAGGGGTGGAAAACAACATGCCTTTCAGCTGTAGTCAGCCGAGAGGAAGACCATCTGCTCAAGAACTATAACGTGTCTACTCGGAGGCCACAAACTTTGGGTCTGGGTAACAGGTGTGCCACACCAGGTGAGACCTGAAGTAGGCGGCAGCCATGGCATCCCAGACACACACCTTGCATCAAACAGAACTGGGGGAAAGGCAGCCTGTCTGGAGGAGCGGCATCCTCCAAGTCCAGGCCCCCAGAGCCTTCCTGAGCTTTAACTCCTAGCCTGTCCCCTCAAGCAGCTGGCCCTTCTGTCCAAACAACAGGGAACATGAAGGCCCTCCACTCCTTATCCCAGCACTGGCCACATGCAGCCTAAACTTGCCTTAAAAGTGGGTAAATTTCACTCACAAATGTATTAACCACTCAGTGCCCCAAAGCACAGCTCCCAAGAGCAACGGAAGCAGAGAGAACATCTGTGAGCCGAACCTCTGAAGCAGGATCCAGGAGCCTCCTGGACACCAGCTTCCGGAGGCATGTCCTGGCCCTCCCTCATCCCCACCTGCGGGACCTGGTTTCGATTAGCAAAGTGGAGAGCTGGGTCTGGGGGCGACACCCGGCAAATGAGGAAAGATATGAACCGCCAGTCCTCACAGCCACCGCTGCCAGGCACGTCCCTCCGGGAAGACATTAAAGGATTAAATCCACCCTTGTCAGGAAACACACTGAGAACTGGCTGAACTAGGGCTTGGCTGGGGAGATCGTCTACAGTTCCCATCTAAGTCCCCTCGGTCCTTCCCACAGAAAACTCCCTGGACGCACACTGGACTTTGGAATTTGTCATCACTTAGCTCCAGTCACCAAAACATCCCCTGGCAGAAGGGAAAAGGTCAAGGAGAGGAAACAGTGACCCAAGGGCCGCAGGTGGCTCGGCTGGGAGAGAGCAGAAGCCAGCCTGCGGGAGGGACGGACAGGGAGGGTCCATGTGGGAAAGGGGTGCTACCAGGAGGACTGCCCAGAAATATCTCTGTGGGCAGGTCGGAAAAAATGAGGTGCAAATGAACGCAGGGATGTGCGCACAGGCCCTGGGCTGCATGAGCAGGAGGCAGCGAGGTTTTCCTACTGTCTCCTCCAGCGGAAAGAGCACAGAGCCAGGCGTGGACACCCCAAACACACTGCGGGGTCCATGAGGCACCCCACAGTTACCACCCCCCGCCCCAGCCCCTGTGCCGGGCCCACAAGAGTCCCCACCTCTGCACCCATCCCTCGCTGTGCACACACCTGGCACGCAATAAATGCCCCCGGTGGTTGCAAGCCAGGGTCCGGCCTCTGTGGGTGTCTGCCCACGGGGCCTTCGCGCCAGCCCCCTGCCCGGGCCCCTCGCGGCACGCAGCACCCAGCACCCAGCCCAGCAGCGGGCACCCGGCCCCCTCGGTGCCTCCAGGCGACCTCACCCGGGTGCGCCGGGACCCGGTCTCTGGGGCGGTGACACCCCGGCCCCGCACACGCGGCCGCGCACTCACCAAACCTCTTGCGGGTCCACCAGTGCGGCTCTTTGATGGCCGAGAACTTCACCTCGGGGTGCAGCCGCAGGCGGTCGTACAGGTCGGTGGTGCCGCACTTGGGCTGCCCGATGATGTAGAAGCGCGGCAGGCAGCGCAGGCGGAAGTGGCGGCCGTGCGCATGCGCCAGGTGCGCCCAGAAGGCCTTGCGCAGCGCGTCGAACGTGGCGCGGAAGCGGCGCGAGTAGAGCGCGTAGGAGTTGGTCAGGTACGGGTCGGTGGTGTTCCGGCCCGTGAACTCCTCGTACCAGCAGGGGCTCTTGCTGTTCGGAAGGAACTTCCTGGGGATGACGGAAAACATCTGCAGCGAGAGGGGAAAAGGGGGACACGCGAGGGGAAATGAGCAAAAACGTCCACACCCCCCCCCACTCCAAGGCGCCCGTGCTGCCCGCCCATGCGTGACCGGTACCAGGCGAGGCCGGCGCCAGCCCGGTCTGGCTGTCCTTAGCCCCGAATAAAAATAAAATATGGAGCGAATGAAGATAAAAGTCCAGAGAGAATCCCGTCCCCCACGGCCAGCTTTTGCTCATTTGTGCCAACACATGCGCGCACCATCTCGTGAAGTTCAGCAGTGGGAATCCTTAGCTTGTTGTCGCTTTTATTTATGCATACAAGAGCTGGGGTACAGGCCAGAGGCGGGGGGTGAGAGGATTCACCAGAGACAGAGCAGGGAGCAGAACAGGCAGACTGACTGAAAACACTGCCGAGGGGAGCAGCGGGGAGACAGGAGAGGTCTGCCGCGCCATGTGGGTAGCTCCCTGGCTGGAGGGGGATCGAACTCGTGCTCCAGAGGCTGCGGATTGCTCCATAGTGCGGTGCCTAACCCCCTGCACCACCAGGGGGTTGCCTATTTAACGGCCATTAATTTAAATGGCCACCAAAGATAAAAGTCACTATTAGGAGGGAACAGCAGCAGGGCGATGGAGATCCACAAAGGCAGCCTTGTCTCCAGCTGGAGGGACCGGCGGAATGTCCAGCAGCTGGGGCTGGGCCACACGCACAGGACACAAGCTCTCAGGACACGAGCCGGAGACTATCAAGCCATTGGCCCCCCTGCACTTGAGAGGTGTCCCCACCATTTTCTTCCCACTCCCCAAAGTCGGTGATAGAAAAGGAAACACCCACTTGTTTTTCTTGAATCAATGGAGAGAGTTTCGTGCGAGGCTACTCACGTGTGACTCCTGCTTTCTGAGGTCACCCACATCAGGGAGCTGCCTGGTGGTGAACTCAATCCTGGCAGTGATGCTGCTGATGGTTAGTTTCATGCTGGCGTAGTCCTTGGCGTAGGAGGTGTTGGCCGCGGGGGGCTGGAGATGCTCCTTGGCGTCGTTGGGGCCCTCACCACCCATTACGCTGGGGCTGCTGGGGAAGGCTCCGTAATGGAAAGGGGACGAGATGAGCAGCTCTTGGTGGGCCCCCGAGAGGATGTAGGAGGCCATCACTAGGGTCATGATGACCAGCCCAAAGACGAGGCTACATCGCTTCCCTTTCTTGAGGCGCAAAAACCCGCCCCAGCTCTCGCTCCCTTCAGCCCTCACTTGGAGAACGGCCAGCAAGTTCATCTGCTTACGGTCCACGCGGAACACAATTTGGTTTTCCCCGGGGCACTCGTGGCAGCTGTGATGGGGAGCCCCCACGCAGCAGCCCCGCGGGCCGTGCGCGGCACCGGGTGACAGCTGCTGGCCGCAGTTCGCACCAGGCCTCATGGTGAAGCCCAGGGAGCTTTGCCGGCCCCCCGAGCCATGGGCAAGGCCCCAGGAGTGCAGGTGCAGGCAGGTGGGGCCGGGCGCTGCAAGGACGTCTTGTGATGATGGACGAGGGTCAGGAGGAAGGCACAGGTGACAGCAACAGAAGTGCAGGCGCCAAAGCTCTAGAGGAGGAGGAAGCTCGTTCTTTGGTTCGACTTGAAAGAGAACAAAAGGCCGTGATCTCCAGGCGTCATGTCCTATGAGAGCCGCTGCAGCCCTGGGGGAGACACAGGCTCCAAGAAAGTCCGTCCGCCCTTCAGGTTTTGCCCATGGCACACAGGGACGCGGGAGGGTTCTGGCCGGAGGACACGCAAGCAGCCGGGAGCTTAGAAGCCATCATGGTCATCTCGGTGCGGGCTGGACAGGCATGTCACCCACGGAGACGGCCCTGGACATCTCTTCTTGGACATTCCGTGCTCCTTTCAAAGTCTCCTCTTGGGGGACGAGCAAATTCTTTACGAGGTCAGATTCCTAAACAGCCAAGAAAAGAGGTTTTATTACATGATGCGAGACAAAAAATAGTCCTGGCTCATCTTCCGAGGAGAGAAGTTTGCATCTCCCTCCTGCTTCGAAGTCTCAGCCAAGCCTGCAGGGTCACAGGAAATCTTACACAGTCAAGAGGGAAGTGTTCTGGTCCTACTGGGTGCTTGGCTTTGGGGTTGATCTCTGACCCCCACACCAGTACCACCAGTACCCCATCAAACCGCTCTTAGAGGGCCCGCTGTGATGCCCAGGTTCCTGGGCCTCCATCCCTGCTCTCCTCCATCATTCTCAGACTCACACACAGACAGTCACGATGAATTTGAGGACTGGATGGAAACAGCAGGACTTTTATGTTAACAAAACCTCCAAAAAGAAGCACAGTTAGGAAGGGAGGGGGTGACCTGCATCATCAGTTTAGGAAGCACTGAACACCTAGAAGCACTGACGTGATTACTCGCTTTCCCATAAAAAATACCCATTTGACTAAGTTATTAAGCAATTAAATTCAGTGTGCAGTGTCCCCCTGAGTAACCTAACACTTCAGACCCTGGAGTAATTTTTCACTTTCATCATCTTGGTGAAAACATGATTCCAAAAATCCATTAATAGAAGCCAGTGGTTATAAGATGTGTTGTTGCCCAAATGACACTTCCTTGTACATGTTGTTAAAAAAAAGAAAAAAAGATGAAAAAAGGAGGGGCGTTCTATTAGGGCAGAAGATCTCTGAGTAATGGGGCGACCCTGGGCAAGCCAAGTAACCAGTGCACACGCATCTTCCAGAACATGCTGAGTCATGGAATTCTCATGAACGCTGCAAGGACCCATTTCAGAAACACCAGTCAGGAAAGGCTGAGCAGCTGGGAGGCAGCAGGGGCTGGGCCTGGAATCCAGAGGACAGTGGGGGTGCATGGAGGTGACCTCTGGGCTCAAACTTCTGCCTTGACTTTGCTCAACCACCCCTGACCCATCACTTGGTACAAACGATTTTTCCAAAGGCAAGAAACAAAAGGGCAAGCTCCCCCACTTGGAAACCCCACCACTGAAGCCAAGAAAACATCTTTAGCATGTCCGCGACAAGGCCAAAGCTGGGTTAATAATGAGGCGCCGGCCAGGCTCTCAGTTGGGGAGCCAGTTCACACCCTCTGTCTTTCGAGCTGCAGAAAGACAATTTCCATTTTTTAAAAAAAACTTGTCTTTGAAGTTCCAAGACAAGAATGTATAAAATCTGGGCCCAACAGAATGGGAAAAACATTCCTAAACAAGAACAAAAGTTTCTTGTTACAAGCAAAGTCAATAAATAAACCTGACAGCCGCAACATAAAGTTCGGACAGATGGACAGATAGATGGATGGCCAGCCAGAGCACGTGGCCCCTGGGCAGGCTGCAGCCTCCAGCCAGAACTGCCACGCCCTGTCTTCCTTTAATCATAAGATGGGGAGCATAGAATGGGGACTGGGGGCGGGGATCCCAAATGCCTTTCAAACTTTTTTAAACACCTTGATATACTGGGGTGACCCTGGGCAAGCCAAGTAACCAGAGCACACGCATCTTCCAGAACATGCTGGAAGAACATGACCTACAATCCATCCTTCCTTCCTTCCTTCCTTCCCTCTCTCCTTCCCTCCCCCACCCCCTTCCCCTGACTCACAGAAAGGGGTAAAAATATGTCCCGGATATCCAGGGAAGACCTAGCTCAGGAGGGGACATCAGGATGACAAGAAGGACGTCACCCACGTAAGGAACCATGAAAGTGAAGACCCAGCAAAGAGACACGGGGACCACAGAGAGGGTGGCGCCCCAGACTCTGGGATCGGTGGGGACCCAGAGAAAACACCACAAGGCCTGGAGGCCGGAGCCAGGCTTGTCCAAGTTCGAGAAGGGCAGCACCGCATATCCTCCCAAAGGGATCTTTCCCACGGGCCAAACTATCAACTAACACAACCCAGGGAAGAAAGATCAAGTGAACGCGCCTGTACTGAAAAGCCAGCGGATTCTGCTCTCCCCCTGGACAGGCCTCTTCCATAGGCCAAAATTATCCCCAGAAAGGAAAGCCAACACTCAGCTTGTTCTTCTTTAAAAAGCACCCCTGCATGCCCCTTGCACCCCACCTGTCTGGAATGTCCACATTTTGGTGCCAGTCCAGGCAGCTCAGACAGCACCCTCGGCGCCCCCGCTCAGGTATGAAGCCAGGGGCTGGGTGTACATTTCCGCCGGCCCGCTTCCCAGGCCCGCTTCCCAGCCCCGCTCCGCGCTGTCTCCTCTGGGTGCGGGCTGTAATTGTGGGAACCTGGAACCACGGTGAGAGATCACATAACTGGCCCCAAAATAGAAGTGTTCAATTACCCAGCTCTGCTCAGGATGCCCCCTATTAACCTCTGCACCCCAAGCATCATTAGCAAGCCATTTGTAACAAAATCGCAATTGAGAGACCCAGAAATCCCACTTTAGATTAAGTAATTGAATACCCCTTCAGTGGAAGATCGATAAAGGGCATCCAATTTCACTGGAGGAAAAACTTATTAAATTATTGTAGCCATAAGCTGATACAGCAGAAGAAAGATGTACGAAACTTCAAAAGAAATCTGGATGGATTTAAATAAATAGCTTCATTTAGGGAGAACACTTACATCTGCCCTCTGGGAAGGGAGAGGGGAAAAATAGCTAATTACATTATTTTACTTTAATATTTAATCGAAAAAATTCGATGGGTCTTAATTAACCTTTCCTAAAACACAAAGCTTTCTGATGAGTATGTCTAACAGCCGGCGTTTCTCTCTGGGCTATGTATATGGAAATACATTTTTTCAAGGCATAGTCATCAACAAGTGGAAAAGGAACATTTTTCTCATTTGGTGCAAAGACAGCATAAGACTGAAGAGCATTGGACGACCCAGAGACAGTCGCTTTCCGTCTCATCCCTGGAGTTTTATGCTTTTGATCACAGGACAGTCAATAGACAGGCCAGACCCAGGTGTAGCAAAGGCAAAAGAAGACTGTCTGCAGGCCCGTGGGCCAGAATGCCAAGGTCACGTCCACCTGCTGACCTTAGACCTTAGCCCTAAGTGACCCAGACCTCTGACCTCCAAAGAAGTTCTGACGGTGACATCTGAGATACAGGGCTGGGTCCTAGAACCACCTGCCCGGCTTTGACCTTGGGCTGCCTGGCTTTGACCTTGAGCTCATGGCTAAACCTCTCTCCGCCCATTTCTTTGGCTGTGTATTGGGAAGAATCACAGAACCCAAGCAGGAGGGCTGCTGTGAGCACGAAGCGAACCAAATCACGTTACATGCTCAGAAGTGAGTCTGACTCATAGAAAAGGCTAGAAGATGAGCTGGCATCACAGTCACGCCGTCCTGGCCACAGCAGGTACTTGATAAGTAGCAGTTTATCACTTAATTATTTAAGCTGCATTTTGGCCCCTGGTAGTCAGGCCTCCCTGCGTCCACACCCTTTGCACAGGGGTGCCTTTGCAGTTCCTCCCCCTCAAAGGAGGGGCACCTCCCTCCCTTCGGTTTGAGTCTGGAGCCTGACTTTGGCCCACAGAATGAGGCAGATGTGACCAGATGCCAGAGCAGCCCAGACTTTTAGACAGGTCCCGCGGTCCCCTGGCCCTTGGCAGTCCTGTTGCCAAGGGAGGGCTCTGCTTGGCCGGGAGGGGAATGCGAGATGCCGCCCCCCTTAGCGGCTAACCCCCTGCATACCCCTCAGTCCCTGCAGACACCTGAGAAATAACAGAGGCTGCTCTTGAGTCTCTGAGTTTCTGGGGTGTCTGCTCTCGTGGGAAAGGCTAACTGGCATCCTGTTTTCAGGTTCTGACAATGGATGTTCCTAAGTGAAACCCACGTAACTATAGTCATGAGTTCCAAAAAGTGTGCTTGTAAACGTAAAGGGAAGTAATTCATCTCAGGACCCAGGCAATCTGCTAAAACCAAGCTTTTGCCTTAAAGAAGCAGTTGGCTCCTCCCGGAAGCAGATCCACCATAACAAGGCTGGGAGCCCCGCACTCATCCCAGTCAAGACCTGCCCCAGCCTGGCCCCCGGGTTACTTTCTGGCAAAATATGTGTTTACAAGAACCACAGCTGATCGTCTGATGTGCACAGCGGTCCCCACTCCCCCCACATCCCGGGCGAAGATGCCTTCCTCACCTCTTCCACAGTCGCTACAATCTCTTCCTTGCTGCCTCTCCTTGAGCAAGCCCTTCCTGTAGCCTGCTTCTTGTGATTTCCTTGCCAGGCGTCACCCATCCTGATGACTGCGACACCTCATCTGCACTTTGTCTGCAACAGGGATTCTCACGCTGGGCTGGGCAGGACCTGCCTCACTCACCAGGAGACACCAGCAGCTTTTCAGTTCTTATCAAAGCATACTTGACTCCGGAAGTTTCTCCTCAACCATTGTGTCTGTTAACAATGACTACTTCAGAGTATAGAAAACAGGTTCTAAAATACACCACTGAGGCCAAGTCTCTGCCACCTGCAGCCGCTCCTCCTGTGCATCCGCTGAAGGAGCTTGTGTCTAGCAACTTGGTGGAAAGTTGGGATATAGATAAAAGGTTTTCTGGGCGCCCAACTACCTTCCAATCCACCTCAACACCTTACCGGCCTTATGACCTCAGGCAACTAACGTAACCTTGGGTGACTTTATTTCCTCATCTGTAAAATGGAAGTAAAACGATCTCTACCTCCCAGCGTGGAAGTGAAGAAGAAAGGAATAATGTACCTAAAATGCTTAGCCAGGCATCTGCACACAGCCGCCCTCAGTAACTGGTGGGTAGTCTTTGTATTATTATAGGAGAAGCCCTCAGGCCCTAGTCCCAGGCCGATTTGCTTTCAAAGTCTATGTAATTCCAGGCACAGGAGCCCAATTTTCCTGTCTGCAACTAATCTGAAGTAATGAGAGAGAAGAGGCAGGTGGCAGCGAGAGGCAGGAGCACAGACGCGGAGGGACAGCCTGGTCTTAGACCAGAAACAAGATATTAGCAAGCAG